TTATTAACCACTCGTATTTATGATCCAATTTTTGCTTTGAACAAACCATTTAGTAATGGTCCCTCCTTTTACGGTAGCTTTTATTATTGGGCCATATAACAACTAGCAATAGGACTCCACCTCTTCTAGCGGCTTTTATTATTAGGGCATAGATAATGTGGTACCCGTGACTTTGAATATTAGTAAAATAATTAACGTATCAAGTAAAAAGTTCATTAAAATATCCATCTATCTATTGGACGGTGTTAATATATAGTAAAAGTTTTCTCGTGATAAACACTTTGAGAATGGTTAGAGACTATAGATAGAAACCAAGAAAGTGTCATTGACGTATATGATCTTGCCATTCTTTATCCTAACGATACATTCAATGATCAAGGTATGGACGTTAGAGACGGTCGTGAACACGTGATTTTGTGAAATATTTTCATGTTTTGCTTATTTCTATGTTAATATGCAGAGTTGCCAAAACTCATCAAGTGAATAGATTAATGCACTCGAGCATCACATCAAAAACCTTTTGAGCCCATCCATTCCATTTTTCTTCAACATTTTATATGATCCATACAGAGTAGGTGCAAAATTTGTTCATAGATATCCTTTCCGTCTTAGAAGAGGTATTACCATAAGTATTTCTCATGGCCTCTCGGTTTAATATCTCCGATTATGATGCTCCCACCCAGCTTGTGAAGCCTTTTAAGAGAAATAAACAGTATTTAGATCTCAAATGGAAGTTAATATGATTACATCATTCTTTTCATGTGATTAACAATGTGAGGGAGTTGACCTAATTTATTAATTTCCTTTTGTATTTCGGATATGTTGATACTCGTTATGACAATACCTAAGGGAACCCTTTTCTCGATGTGTGGTAATAATCCGGCATTCAATTGTGAATTGATTGGACCTAATATATATTTTGGGCTCATGGGTGATGGTCGACCAATTGAATGTTATGACAACATGTGGGTCGGCTAGTGCATAAAGGTGCCATTTCTATGATATTTCCTTTTTTTTCATGTTTTATTTTTATCAATGTCTTTTTTATCACAATTTCATCTAAACTCTTTTCTTTTCACAAACTTCATATGAGTTAGGATATGATATATTAGACTAAGAACTAAGTAAAACAACTATTCGTTAAATCCCAAACTTCAATTCTAGGACTTCTAGACATCTCAAGAAAATGAGGATTCCATTATGTTTAATTGAAACTTGAATCATACTTTTGTGGATTGAATACACCTCATTATTTTGTGACATAATGCTTTGGCCATTTAGTTATGATATTTTTCTTTTATTGTTTAATTTCGTATTCTTGATTTCATTTCATTAATAAGAATTCTGAATATTTTTTACTTACTTTTATTTCTTTTTTTCCCCATATATGTATCAAATATGCTTTTAATACTATTGAAGTTAGGCTAATATCTTCATAAAAAAGGGCTATTATATCAAATTCATTTCAATTATAAATTTGCTTTTAATTTTAACTCTGTTACAAATTTGAGTAAATCTTTTTCAAAGTAGGCTCTACTTAATAGACAAGCATTGATAATGGTTCCTCATCGGCGATCCACAAGTTACGACAGAGGAGGTTCGACGTCGGACAAACCAACTACTACAACTAGCAATGGTTCAACAAACCACAAATGTAATTAACCCCAGTTCTAACTTATGTTTTAAGGTTTATGATAGAATCCGAAGTGACTTTGTCTAACTTGACAAAGGTAGTCCAAACCAAAAGAATTGGTGGAAGGGATGCTCTAGGCTTTATGTTTATGATTACTAAATGAGATGCTACCGCAATATCAAAACTATCATTAACTCATTGATCTAAATTACAAGAGACTTTCCATTAAATTTTTCCTTTTCCATTATGTTCCATTTATTTAAATTAAGTCATACTTTGGGTTAATTACAATCACTTTCAATTTGATATGATTTTTTTTTTTGCTATTTTCTATATATTATTTTAATTTTTTTAAATCACTAAAATCATATCAAATTCAAAATGATATTCACATAATATTTATGACTTAATTTAAATAAAAGAAATAAAAAATAGTAAATATTCTTGACGCCTAAAAAGGAGCACATAATAGATTATATAGCTATATAATTACAGTGAGGTCGCTTCATTCATCTCCTAAAAAAAAAATTGATGGAAGCTGAAAATATGAGAAAAGAAGGGATATAATTTAATTTCTACTCGAATTTATCATAATATATTTTAAGATTTTAGTTGATAAGTCATTAACTTTCGCTTTTTCCACTAATCAAAAACACATCTATAGGCTTTTCCCTTATGATCTCATCATGCAATGGCTATTGCTTTTTCTTTAACTATGTATTGATGCACATAACACTAGTTGTATACTATTAATTTTTTATATTTTTTTAAATAAAATAATTAAAATAATATTTTAGAAGAGGACATAATAATTCAAATATATCTTTTTATATTAATATTATTCATTATTTTGTATATATATATATATATATATATATATATATATATATATATAAGTTAAATGGATAAATTTTAAACAAGTTAAAAAAGATTCATTAGTTAATTTTATTCAAGTTTTTATATTAATTGTTGCTTTTTTTTTCTAAGCAATCTTATGAAAAAAAAATTAGGATGTTTTTTAAAAAAATATTAAAATTTTTATTTATATTATTATAGGTTTTAATTTAAGAATGAATGCACAATGAAGATTAATCGTGTTTTTTAACAAAAAAATAAATAAATAAATAAGAATAAATAAAATACATAATTTTAAAGAAAAACAATGAAATTAGATGAATTATTTTTTAATTTAATATATTTTAATTGATCAATCTTATAGTACACGCTATTAAACCGAAAAAAACATATTAGTTCGGTTCTTATTTTCTCGTTGCTTGTGTCTTTTGTTCATAAACAATGTCTTTTCGTTCATGATTCCGTGTATGTATATGTGTGTGTGTATAGATATATATGATCCTAGGCTAATGTGTAGTGATAAAAACACAATTAATGTATTTTCTTCGTGAAACTTTTCTTTGCATTTGAATGACATATGCTTTCGAAATTTTCACTTTACTCGGCTTGTATATCTTGTTGCATTATTGAAACTAAGTTTTTTTCCTTTTTTTTTTTTTTTTCTTGAAAACGAGCTTTGCAAACTCAATACATATACCTAATAAGGATAAACAAGCTTCTCATAATTCTTCTTACTCAAACTCAATTGCTCTTTGTAACTAGAACTCTATCATCGTTATCTCCGTACTTAGAACTCGTCTCTATTACTCTCTATAGCTAGAACTTTATCTATGTTACTCTTTGTAGCTAGAACTCCACTATGTTACTCTTTGTGGCTAAAACTTTATCTCCGTTATTCTCCGTAACTAGAACTTTATCTTTTTTACTTGTTGTTGCTAGACTTCTATCTCTCGTTACTCTTTGTACACGGACCTCTACCTCCGTTACTCTCTATAGCTAGACCTCTATCTTTGTTCTAATTAGAAATCTATTTAAGGAGATCCTTGTAATACAAAGCATGTATAACGGATTTACAACCTATTCTTAGTTTTTTTTATATAGTATCGTAGCTCTAAGAGGTCTAATAACCGACGTTCATATCATGTCTACTTCCCTTCCATATGTTTAATACCAACTTTCTCTTAAACTAAACTCCACAAATTATTTTTTTTGGCTCACCTAAATCAAGACTATTCTTTAAGATTATAGAGAGTAACAAAGATATGTAAAATTCATATTATGTCTATTTCCCTTCCACATATTCAATATCAACTTTTTCTTAAACTAAACTCCACAAATTATCTTTTTTAGCTCACCCAAATCAAGCCTATTTTTCAAGATTACATAGAGTAACAGAGATATGTGCGATAGATTTAGAGGTTATCTATTATAACAAAAATTATCGAAGCTTACTTATCCTTACCAATACTTAAACAAATATATCCAAATTTACATTACAACCACCATTTGCATTTTAACTTTAGAATTTGATGTGTTACTCATTTGTCTTCCATTTAAATTATTTATGTTTTCAAATAAATTTGTTGATCGCCTAAATATTCATATCCCTTTGTATTCTTAATTTGTTTAACTATCATTCTTATTTCATATTCCAATTTTTCCCCCTTCTCTAAAAGCTTCTTTGAAACTAAATTTCTTTATAACTCATATGTTCAACAAAAAATTAACAAATATTGATTTAATATAAAAACAAAACAATGTTCACCAACAACGAAGTGCGGGCCATATATTCTAGTTATACGCCATCATAAATTTAAATGTTTTCTTAGTTGTTGTTAGAGTTAATTATCACTATGACCTTTTGTTTTGGGTGGCATCGTACTCTGCTCTCCTAGTTTTGCAAAATTACGATTTCCATCCTATGACTAGCATATTTATTTCCCCGAATGAAAAAATCAAAATACCCTATTTAAAAGAAAAACTACAAATGCACGTTTATCTCGTTTTATTGGTGAGTCTTTCTCTTTGAAGCACAAATCACTTAAAACTTAACTCCTTTTTTTTTTTACTGAATAGTCTCTAAATAAGAAGTGATTAATTTTTTTAACCTTTAAAGAGAAACAAATAACGGCAGGGTAATTAACTCTTGCTTATGCTAACTCACCAACAATTTACCGCTCAAATACTTAGAAGAAAAAAGTTTATATAGTCGAACAGAGTTTGGTGCAAACGCGTGAGAGAAAATTTCGGCAATCATTTTAAGAAATGATAATAATAATAATAATGTTACAAAACTAAAGGAAACCTTTCTATTGTTTCGTAAAATCACCCCTCTCTCTCATCGTTTATTAACCCAATCCAATTCGCCGGATCCTTTAAATTTGGGTCAAATCATAAAAAAATCCATTAATCTATTATTGCTAAAATAATCTCCAGCAAGCTAAGCTCGAACTTCATTTCCTGGAGCCATAATCAGGTTTGGATCCTAGCTAGGCTTCTTAAAAAAGGAATCATGGCTCAGGCTTCAGGGAGGAGCGGGAGGGTTGTTGGAGACTACTTGGTGGGTAAACAAATCGGGTCGGGTTCCTTCTCGGTGGTTTGGCACGCGAGACACCGAATTCATGGAACCGAAGTAGCGATCAAAGAGATCGTTACGAATCGACTTAATAAGAAATTACAAGACAGTCTCATGTCTGAGATTTTTATTTTGAAGAGGATTGATCATCCTAATATTATTCGCTTGCACGATATTATTGAGGTGCGCTTTGCTTTTGCTTTTATTTTTTTTCTTAATCTAATTTAGCTTTTTGTTATTTTATTTTTTTTGAAATTTTAGAATAATCTGTTTCAAGTTTTGAGGTTTTTTATCATGCTGCTAAGAGAATTATTTAGGATTTTTTTTTAAAAAAAAATTCTGTGACATTTTATAGTGTAAATTATAGAGGTTTTGTTAATGTTGAATATAAATATTAGGGCCCGGGGAGAATACATATAGTATTGGACTATTGCAAAGGTGGTGATCTCTCTATGTATATCCAACGCCACGGAAAAGTTCCAGAAACAATTGCTAAGCACTTCATGCAACAATTAGGTATTATATTTTTTTGCATTCTCTCTAACTTTGTTGCATTATTGGTGGCTGCCCAAGTCTGATACTATTGTGTTTTACAGCTGCTGGTTTGCAAATTCTCCGGGACAATAATTTGATTCATCGGGATCTTAAGCCACAGGTTTGATTAATTCTTTGCTTTTTTTATTTCCAATTTTAATCACTGCTATGTATTAATTAGATTTTAGCAAGAAGCTGCTTCTGTCTTTGCATTGGATATAATAGTATTTGGGAAAATCAGAACTTTCATGCACGGCAATATTACAGTTAAGCTGAGTGTGTTTTCTTGAGGTTATAGCTCTTTTTTGTCAGCTTGAATGTATGGCAATATATAAATTGGGAAATTTGTAAGAAAAGTATACTGGCACATACATGTAGGAAGAATGGCTTACTGATGTAAGAGGATGTTGTTTCATGTCTACTATTCTCGTGCTTGAAGAAAGATTTTGTGTGTGATGTACTCCATTTGTAACATGCCCTAATTTTTGTAACAGAATCTCCTCCTCTCCACGAGTGACAACAATGCAGTTTTGAAAATTGCAGACTTTGGATTTGCCAGGTATCTAATGATCATAATTTTCCTTTCTTTTCTGTTCATCACTGTTAGCTTGGTCCAATGAGCCTTTAATGTGATTGTTTTCTACATAGAGAATTGGTTAAGTATTGTCCTCTGCTGCATCCCTCCCTTCCCCTGTGTCTTGCAAACTCAGGCCTAGCCAGCTAAAACCACTTGTGTTAAGAGTTTGTCTAACCTAGAACTCTCCACACACACATGTACACAGGCTTCGACATGTTTAGATGGGGAAGTTCTCCTAAACTTTTAGTGCATGCACACACACACACACACACGTATTTAAGTCTAACTTCCCAATTTCAAAATTGCAGAATCTGAACTTGAAGGTGAATATCAGGTTCACTTCTATTAAGTTAGTCAAATCAATGTAGGTAGAATAACCTGAGTTTGTCTTTGAAAGAATTAGCTAGAACTGATTGTAATGGATGCGAAATTGTGCATCCATACAAGAGGTTTTTAACAAACAAACTTGTGATAATGCATTGTTTATTTATCATGACTTTATTTTTGGCATGTTGAAGATATTCATAATTAATAGCCGGTTATTTTCAAAAAAAAAAATTGCGACTTGAATTTTCTCTGAATTTGCAGTTTCAATATCATGATCTCTATTTACATTGAACTTCACTTATTTTTTTCAACAATAGAAAACTTGCCCGATGTCTTTTCTTTTTCAGCAATTTATACCAACATATATTCCAAAATTCAAAGATTATAGTTCTTTGATGTCAGATCTCTACAACCTCAAGGCCTTGCAGAAACCTTGTGTGGCTCACCACTCTACATGGCTCCAGAGATAATGCAACTTCAGAAGTATGATGCAAAGGTGAAATTCAGTGAATTGTGTGAAGTCTTGATGATATGTTTATGAAATATTTTCTATTAACCTTGAGCTGAATACGCAGGCAGATCTCTGGAGTGTTGGTGCCATTTTATTTCAGTTTGTTACGGGAAAAACCCCTTACACTGGAAACAATCAAATACAGGTTGGATTAGCTTTGTTTATGTGCAAATCCAAATGATTTTTTAGATTTATAAGTACTGTAAAGTTCTAGATTCCATGGCTTTGGTAATCATTCTTAACCTGAGTTAAACTAGTGATTTCCATGCATTTGTTGGTGCCTTACTTATATATTTTCTATCTTGTGGTGCACAGTTGCTTCAGAACATTGTGAAATCAACTGAATTGCAATTTCCTTCAGATAGTAAGGATTTGAGTGCTAACTGCAAAGATTTATGCCAGAAATTGCTGCGTCGCAATCCAGGTATACCATGCAATGTCGCTTGAAATTTGAATTCATATGTTTATAAAATAAAAGCTTCATGAAGTTGGGAAAAAAGGAGTCAATGTACACATGCACACACACATGGTGTGTGTGTTTGTATTTTCAATCATGCCAAGCACTAATTTCGTATAATTGCTTGACTGAATGTTTGATACATGTCTGCATCTGCTTTCAGTTGAAACGCTTATGGATGTTTAAGAGATGGGCCGAACAAGTTATTTGTTTCTTCGTTTAACTTTGGGTTAGCATGTTGTGGTTCCATTCAAATTTATTTGTTAGAATATTTTCCTAGGTCTAATTAATGAACAAACGCATGCAAAATCCAAATTCATCGCCATAATCCTTTATTTTGCCTCATAAAAAAATAATAATAAAATAAGATGCAAACACATACAACTGTTAAAAAAAAAAGTTGATGCATTAGCCAGCGTCACTCTGTTATCTGTGTTACAGATATTTGTTTAGCTTCTTATCCCCTGTTTGTAAAAGTTCTCTCTTCATATTATACAGTGGAACGACTAACTTTTGAAGAGTTCTTTAACCACCCATTTCTTTCTCAAAGGAAAAAAGACGAATTATTGAGGTACAATGAAAAATATTTTCTTCTCCATGATCTTAATATATGGTTCTTCCGGATTCTTAAATGATATGTGATATGCAGTCGTAGGAGGTCTTCAAGATCAGTAGATGGCTTTTCTTTCTCTGAAATCCATCCTGCAAGGAATGCTGATGACAATTCTCAGGAGGATTGTTTGCCTTTCCTTCTGGATGACGATTCTAGTGGTCCTGAGGGTAGCCCTTCTGTTTCTAAGAGGATGTCCCCACTGAAGTCCACCTATGGATTTTCTCTTGATTCAAGAGTTGGAGGAAGGGATGCAACATCTAATGTTTTCAATAACATGGATTTTACTTCCAGACTAGGTAGTGCCAGACAGAATTTAGAAAATGCTAGTTTTAGGCCGGGCATCAATAAGGCATCTGATGAAAGTCTAAATGAGCCTCCAAAATCCATGGACCAAAGACCAGTGAACATCAGATCAAGAGGTACCATGAACGCCACTGTGTTCTGTTTTCTTCTCATTAATGTATTTAGAGTCCTTAATACATCATATCAAGGGATGTCTATTTTTAACTTGCTCTTTCACTATTGGAATACAGTTGTAGATTCACTGGAGTTGATAGATCAAGATTATGTTCTTGTTTCTGGACCCCCTTCGGATGTGTCATCTTCCACAGCAAGTATTTCCAAACCAAGCAATGCACCGTACAAGTCAGAGAGCCCTCCTCGAGCATCTACCTACACAAGCACTACGCCAAGCATCCCGATGCCCATAATTGGCACTGTCAACAATAATATTTACTGCTTTGGAAGCTTGGAAATTCCGGCCTCTGCTCCTGGGACTTCTGAAGGATCTTTGGATTTGGGAGATGCTTCGGAGCAGCCATCAAGTCACTGCATGACTAGGATTAAGTCATTGCAGCAGTGTGCATCTGCCATAACAGAACTAGTGCTTGAAAAGGTAAGGGCATTACTCTCTGTTGAACTAGTTTTTCTACTATTCTCTTCAAAATTCCCTGGGGAACTTTGGAAATCATTTGTTTAGTTTAACCAGAGAAATGAACCGTAGATAGAATATTTGTTTAGGTCTCTGTTTAGATAAGGCAATAGTTTTATGTGCATAATTAATTAGCTCATGCAGACAACAGAGTTGTATATGCATAGTATTGCTACTAATTTTATTACTATTATTTTGAAACTTTTCATTTGGGTTAGTTTATAAAGTTATTAGACATATTTTCTTCTGCCTGGCATGCCCAATGCAGAAAAGTTAATGGGATAATTGATGAGTTTTGGATGGGAAAGGATGCTGCATGTTTTTCTTTTATACCTTGATGTTAGGTAGCATGCTCGTTTGCACTGTAAGGCTACTTCAGTTGTTGACACACCAGGGTGTGTGATGGTCTTGCCTTGCATGTATGATACCTGCCACTGCTTTGACTTTCCTTTCATGCAATAGATTGATATGATTTTTCTTTTCTTCTACGAGTTTTATTGATCTAACTTATAATGTTGCTTTTGCCAAATTAAAATATGGTCACTGTCCTTGGTATAGATTAAGGCAGGTAGGCAACTGGAAGCATTCTCGATCCAACTTGTTATTCTTGCGATTTGGAAGCAAGCACTGCACATCTGCCATACTCAGGCAGCCTCAGCTATCGAAGGAAGTCCAACCCAAGAGAGCTCAAGACTGAGGAGAAGCAGCAGCAGGAAGCATGGGACTCCTGATACAGAAGATTGTCCTGATGTTGGGCCACAGAATGTGTCCACTCAAATTGAGGGGGAGTTTTTACAGGAAGTTGAGCGGGCAGAGGAACTTGCCAAGGTTATTGAACCTGGTATGGGTTTAATATTTTGTAGTTACTCGGCAAATTTAGACAAGTTTCCTGTATAGTGTCTTCCTTGTACCTTTATTTCCTGGCATGATTATATGTGATCCCTAAGTGAAGTGAATGGCACCTAATTGTCGTAGCCTGGTTCCTATATATTAGTTGCAAAGTGTGAAGAAGAATCAAATACTTATTTTACATCCAACTGGTTGACATGCATTTACTTTCGAGTCAATGAACGAGACTTGTAACTGTGCTTGTCTTGAAATGGTACCTTGTCAGTGCCAAATGATAGCACTTCAGATTTCTTTATTGTAATGTTACAAAAAAGTTAAAAGTAACAGAGTTCTCGATTATTCATAATGATTGCAGGAAGTACAGAGATGCCAGATGCAATGGAGACAATATTTCAATCTGCCCTTTCTCTGGGAAGACATGGCGGGGTTAGTGTTTTTAATTTAATTTGATTGCATAGGGACAATGATCTGCTCCTTCCTCGTTTACATCTTTTTCCACAAGTCCACTAGCACAAAATTTCAAAATGAAATGTCAAAAGTGTCTTCCAAAAAGGCATTGACTTATTAATTTATATAAAATTAAGAGATATTTTTAAAATTTCATTTATAACAAAAGTTGTGCCAATGGCATCACCCTTCCTTTTCCATTTTTTCTCAACACTTTCTAGTTGTCACTTATGGAGAAACACTCTAATATCATTCTAGGATGTGAAGAAAATGTAGGTCTGTAGGGAAATTCTGGAGCCGAGGTCTCTACATCAGATAGGCTTGAAAAACTGCAAAGCTAGTTCTGACAGACTAGAGCCTGTCATAACCATGCTGTGTGTGTCTAGTGAGTGGGGATATTGACTGTGCAGTGAATGGAGAGAAAAGAGTTGCAAGACGGTAGAGTCTGTATAGCATTTAGTATTAACGATGTTCTTTAGACACTAGTCTCAACTTGTGTGCATTTGAGGTTGTCTCATTACCATTCGTTTTTACTCATCTCCTCCACTCAAAGGAGCATCTATGTAATGTTCAAAATCAAGCCATTGACACAAAAATGTTAGTTTCAAGTATCTGGACAATGCTAAATAGAGATTGTTTTATTCATGTAATGGCAGGTTGATGAGCTCATGGGGGATACAGAAAATGCAGCTTTGCTATATTCGAAAGCAGTACGTTTGTTAGTTTTCCTTCTAGTGGAAGCCCCATCCCTTATTCTCAACCCTCCATTCTCTCTCACAAACTCAGATCGGTACAGGCTCCGCCGTTACATAGATATCCTTAACAATAGGCAAGACCATTCACGATCCCAGAGGATAGCACTTCTCAAATGCGAAGATCAACAATGCCCACTGTAGGGGAAGTTTTGTACATATCATGTTGTCCTACCCTGTTCTACCATGTAAAATTATTTGTTTGTACAGTTATTCTTTTGAGTGACTGGGATTGCGGTATTGTCAGAGGTTAACCTGTGTATAATGGTGGATGTGGAAGGGAGGTTGTGGATGTTGTAACTTTCTTGTTTGTTATTTGAAGAATGATTTGGAAGGGAAAAAAATGGAAGGAAGAAAGAAACGTGCATTTATTTCCATCTTTTGTGTTATCTTTTGCTACATGTAGATTGGGCACGGAGAATAAGACCTACTTTTCATCATCCCCGACATTTCATTCTTATAAACTATATGTCATCCCGATCCTGATACATAAACTGCAGTGTCGTATATGCTGAGGAAAAACATGCTACGATGCTATTCTTTGTTCTTTATGATCTTCGCATGGTATTCAAACAGGTCTCGTATCATGATGTTAATATAACAGTGTAAGGCTTTCAGCCGCCAGTATTCCGGATCTTTTCACTTGACGATATGATTTTATTCACAAAATTTGACAAATCTTTTGGCATGACCGTTGCTAGTATTCGTTAGGGCTTGTTCATATATTGTTGTGATGGCAATCTGTAAAGCTTATTATTTTTCATCAATATTACATGTAATTTTAATTGGTTCGAAATTAGGAGAGAGCTGTGAAAAAAGAAGAATTATAAGTTTCAAGATAAAGCTAATTGGTTAGAAATTAAGAGAGAGCTGTGGAAAAAGAAGAATTATAAGTTTGAAGATAAAGCTGATACGATGCTTTTAGATAGATAACAAGCCTTTTGAGTTATTTATGTATCTAAATTAGTCTGCATAATTGAAAAAAATCGTCTGTAGCCATTGCAAAAAAAAACGTAATTTCTTTTCATTTATGCATTCGTCAGTAGCCATTAGGAAAAAAAAATCATTTCTTTTCATTTATCACGAGAATTTGAGCAGCCAATAATACACAGTCAAAGCAAATCAGCATATCAATATTATCAGATTTCTTAATAAAATGGTCAATCACTTGCAACTTTATGCTCAGATAGCTGACGACTCTACACATAACGATATATTATCTGCAACGTCGCGTAGGTACCAAATTAACATTTTCTAAAGCATGAAAAACTTTTCAATAAACTTCGTAATTTTATGAGATCTCAAAAATTTATTGGAAATTTGGAATTTAACCGAAGAACCAATTTTAAACTTCCTTAGCAATAAACTAGTTAGCCATGGTAGAAGTGGGGCGCCGCCATTCAGATTTAAGAATATTGTTTCTCCCTCTTCTTACATTTTAACTCCCATCGATGGAGAAATAAAGACATTTAATTGTTTAAGATCCAAATTGGAATAAGTATACAAGACCTGGGTGAAACTGCAATGTAATTCGTAATATCGGGGTGAACATATAATTATTGCAAATTATTGTTACCTAATTTATAACTTCAGAAGCTGAGACCGGGTTTAATTTCAGATTTTCTAAAGTTCAAAATCTACACTCTCATCCCTTTTTATCACCAGCGGGTAATCCAATCACCCCGCGCTTAGAAATTTCTGTGCTCGTTATTTTAATACGAGTAAATTATTACTGGTCCCTAAATAATCAAATATATGTAATATATTAGTCCTTTTAGTAAGACAAAATATAAATCAATCCATTAACTCTAGTTGATCATTATCTAATTGAATCTTTTTCTTTTTCTTTTTTCTCTAAAATCCTACTAGCTATGCTGGATTTTTATTTTTTTATAATAATTTGGATGAATAGCTTAATTTATTTTTATATAATACCATGAGTCTCTAATTTGTTTTCATATTTTTAATTATATCTATTATATTTTTTTAATAATATTTAAGTTTTTAATTTATTTTTTCAATCAATTTTTTCGACAGACAATAAAAGAAAAATTTGATTGAAATGCCTTTGAATCACATGTAAGGAAAAAAAAACACATAAAGTCACACGATTTACATGGTTTATTTTTTAAAATCTTTAGATTTTTTTTTATTGAATTTCAATCATAGTATTTCAATTAAAACATTTGTCTATGGTAAAAAAATTGATAAAAAAAATTAAAGACTTAAATAATATTAAACAATATAATAAATACAATTAAAAATATATTGAAGACTAATGTTATTAGATAAGAAGATAATAAATTATTTATTTGCAATATAAATTCTAGATGCTATATTAAGGAATTAGAAAGAACTAATAAATGATGAGTAAATTATAAATTAGTCCCTCTCGCTTCTAGAAATAAATTAATTGATCATTCTAGTTTCAAAAACTAATTATTTAGTCATTTTTAATTTATTCTGATTTTTTATTTTAAGAAATAAAAAAGAAAAAATAGTAAAAATAGGGATAGATTGACGAGAAAAAAATATATTTTATAAAATATTAAATATTAAATTAGTCATGATTAATAATGATTAAAATAACTAAATAATTAGTTTTTAAAATCAAATAGGCTAGTTAATTCGTTCTTGGAAACGAGAGGGACTAATTTATAATTTACTAAAAAAATGTTTTAATGAGGAAACCACGAACAAGAGTTAAACAACTAATTTAGAAGTGTTCAAACATAAGGGGCTAATTTGTAATAATGTTTAAAACCTAAATACTAAATAATATTTTACTCTTCCATTTTATTTTATTTTATGTTTTCTTTCTTTCACAGAGACAAAATACGAAGAGCAGCACTACTAGCATTCATTTCATAAGTGAAAAAAATTAAATAATTAAAATAAAAAAGCGCACACACACTCTGTCTCTCAGATCCAAATCTCTCTTCTTCTTCTTCTTCTTCTTCTTCTTTTCTGTTCTCTTAGATCTCTAAAATTATCTATCCGGATCTTGATCACCGTATTCGGATTCTCTTGATTGGATCCTCGAGTCGCGCAATTTTTGAGCGAGAGTTTACTTTCATTCTCGGATCCGATTAAGCTCTCAGGAAATTCTCGGAAACGGACCCAATCATGAATCCCTTCTCCTCCGGTACGCGTCTAAGGTGAGTGCGTTTTTTTACTTTTTCTCATTTTATTTATGAAATCCGACCTGTTTGGCAGCTGGAATGATGCAATTCTGGTTTAGTTTAAAGATTAGGATTCCGTTAGTTGCATTTCATTTTATTTTTTAAAATTTTTTGAGCATGAATTGGATGATTTTTGAAATGAAAGGGACATGATACGGGCAATACGGGCTTGCAAAACGGCGGCGGAGGAAAGAGCTGTTGTGAGAAAAGAATGTGCTGCAATTCGCACGTCGATTAATGAAAATGATCAAGATTATAGACACCGGAATTTGGCAAAGCTTATGTTTATTCATATGCTTGGCTACCCAACACATTTTGGTCAAATGGAGTGCTTAAAGTTGATTGCTTCCGCTGGATTTCCTGAGAAGAGGATCGGATATCTTGGGCTCATGTTGCTTCTTGATGAAAGACAAGAAGTTCTGATGCTCGTTACCAACTCGCTAAAACAGTATCCTAATAATGCATATGTTCTGTTGTTATCTAAATTTGCAAGCTGTGTTTCATCTGTTTCTGCTGAAATGAATAAGAAAGAGAAAATCTTTGTATTCAGTTTTAGTGGCCTTAACTTATATGCAGAGATCTTAATCATTCAAACCAGTATATTGTGGGACTTGCACTTTGTGCTTTGGGCAATATTTGTTCAGCAGAAATGGCTCGCGATCTTGCACCAGAAGTGGAAAGATTGCTGCAATTTCGGGATCCGAATATTCGGAAAAAAGTGAGTTGCTTTTGAAATAATTTTTTTTTATTGTCTCTTGGCAACTTAATGTAGTAAATTATAGTTCTGTGGGATTATTGTTTATTTGTTTTGGTTCCAGTAGTTAGTGAGTGGAAAGTTGTAAGGGTGGGGGAATGAGCTCTGTAAACCCTGAAGGTTGTAATGCTTTAATTCTTAAAAGCTCTTGATCCTCCCTAACGAGACAATAACTAAGTAAATCAAATATATGTTGTGAAAGAATGTGGTTTCTTGTCTTTTTTTGGACTTTTTTAATCTCCTAATCACGTGAGACATTTTGGAGGTACTTGGTTGTGTGGTGTTCAGATTGAAGTTCTCCTAAATTGCTTTAAACTTCATGTTTATCTCTTATTTGGCTTTACCGGCTTGTGGCTTTCTTTTGCTTTCTCTAATTTCTACTGCACTCTTGCTCAAACACAGGCAGCATTATGCTCTATACGGATTATTAAGAAAGTCCCAGATCTGGCAGAAAATTTCATAAATCCTGCTGCTGCCTTACTTAAAGAGAAGCATCATGGAGTCTTAATAACGGGGATTCAACTTTGTACAGATCTATGTAAAGTCAGTCCAGAAGCCCTCGAGTTTTATAGAAAGGTATTTATCATGGCCTGTATTAGGATGAAACAAGCATTCTGACTGATGCTAAATTTATGTATTGTTGAGCTTTTTATTTGGCATGAGAGAAATGAACTCTTCATTATTAATATATGAACCTTGTATTTTATATAAATGTTTATAATATAGATATTTTTTAGGGCATTTTCATGAAAAGAAATAAATTTTGAAGGTAAATTTATGGTTAGCATACTTTTATTCTTCAACTATGACAAGTTATAAAATCATTCTTGTAGAAACACACCGAAGGGTTGGTCCGAACATTAAAGGATGCTGTGAACAGTCCATATTTACCAGAATATGACATTGCCGGTATTGCAGACCCTTTTCTCCATATCAGATTGCTTAAACTTTTGCGTGCGTTAGGCCATGGGGATGCTGATACTAGTGATGCTATGAATGACATACTTGCACAGGTCAGTTTCCATTTGCATTTTGTACCAGTCTGTCATATTTGTTCTATTAGTATTCGAGAAATGTTGGTTCATGATCAATATGTCAATTGTTAACGGCTTGGATCACTTCTCTTGAGTTGAATTAGAGATTGGAAAAGGATAGAGATGGTATGAGTCTGATTAAGTGATGAAATTTTGTTTTTTTGTTTTTGTTTTTTTTTTTTTGTCCTGTGCTTTTTTCTAGTAAACTTGTGAATTTAAGTAGAGCAATTCAAACCCTATAGACTACAAAGTTCCTCATGCTTATTTGAATTCCAACATCCTGAAGAAATTTAGTGGGTGAGCTGAAGAAAAAGGGCCTTCATTGATAATAGAATGAGACTTACTTTGCAGAATGTATGGGTTGAATTCTTAATAACTTGTACTTGTCTATACGGAAGTCCATCTTATTTCTCTGAGTTCCTCTCGTTTGGTGATTGGTGGTCTCTGTTGATGAGTTTGTTCTTGTTCATTGTTTCTCTCATGACGGATGGAAATCATTAAAGTGGGCAGTTTGGTTTGAACTTCCTTGATGGTAGAGAATTTGAAGTTAGTTTGCCTAAACAACAATTAAATTTTCATTTCCAATAACAACTGAATGAAGGAAGTTGATCCAGGTAGCTAAGCTGAACAATAGTCAAGTGGAGTTAAGTTATAAATAAAATTTTTATTACCAGTGGGTTTAATATGTATAGTCCAGTTAGAAGTGGGATTTTGTAAAGCACTGGCTTGTAAGCTTCATTCAAAACCCTTCTGTAGTCTTGTTTGACAGTTATGAGTAATCTAATTGGGCTAAATTTCAATCAACTGAGTTAAGCTGTTTCTTTTGTAAATGCATTTGGTCAATGATTGAGAATAAATTGATCAGCATGTGAAGCTGAACATCTTCTAAACCTATTCAACTGATCCACACATTCTAGCTTGTCAACTTGCTATCAACCTGTACATTGTTATACATGCTCACTGGTCCTTACAATCGCATTTTAATCTTTCTCGTTTGGTTGATGTTTTCTTAGGTGGCAACAAAAACTGAGTCAAACAAAAATGCTGGAAATGCTATTCTATATGAATGTGTTGAAACTATTATGAGCATTGAAGATAATGGCGGCTTACGAGTGCTTGCTATTAATATCCTGGGAAGATTCTTGTCTAACCGTGACAATAATATCAGGTTTTGTTTCATAAGATTATAACATAGATATGATTTCATGGCCTGTCATTTCTTCCCTTCCATGTTGTTTTTTAATAAACCAATTGCACTAAATATTGCTGGGCATATGTTTTATGGTATATTTCTCCTGATTCAATGAGAATAGATCTGCCATTGCATGTTTTCCCTTTTTTTTTTTTTTTTTTTTGTATGCTTTGTTGAATTTATTGATTTATAGGAAATGATTTTCGGCAAGTTCCTATGAAGTGTGATTATCCATATGATTACAACATGTAAGATGATTGCTTGTTAAACAGGGAGGCATATTGATTAACGGAAAGTTTACTTTTTCATGTTTAGTTGTAGTGTGATTATCATCATTGTCTACTAAATATTAGGTAGTTGCTTGTTGAAGGGTGACTTATATATATATATACATATAAAATAAGAAAACATACTTAACTCAGGACAACTGCTTGTTTTTCTTTAGTTTATTCCTTAAAAATTCTCAGGAGAAAAGAAATCGTTGTAAAACAATTTATTTATTTTGTAGAAATTTTCTTAAAACACTCATTTTTATAAAATTCTCTTTGGAAGACAAGCGCTGCCAAATTATGTCTTTTTCTTTTTGTTGGTATTTGGCTGTTTGGTAGTGAATAATATTTTAGAAAATTGAGTAATAGGTTAGCCCATGTTTTATATCTTTCATGGAAAAATGAAAATAGGAAATTTAATAGATATCTGAAGAGTATTTCTATAATACACGCGCATAATGTTTGTTTATCTTGTGATCTCTGGATATAAAACCAGGCACATGCTTCGTTGCAGTTCCTTCGTGCTTCCTCTGAATAGTAGTAGTTCCTTCAGCACTTGCATTGAATTATTATTTTCAGATCAATAAGCTTGATTTGTTTTATTTTCTTGTTTTACTAAATATAAAACCAAATCCAACATTTGTTTCAGATATGTTGCATTAAACATGCTGATGAAGGCTATTACTGTAGATGCTCAAGCTGTACAAAGGCATCGTGCAACAATCTTGGAATGTGTAAAGGTATGGAATTACTCCACCTTGATCTATTTTTTATTTTTAAATAACTAGTGGTTATAGAGAACATTAAAATTCTATAGTATATATAAATTGTTTCCATTCAACTTGTTTAATACTATTTTCCTTATCTTAAAAAAATAAAAAATAATGAGTAAATGTGCGCGATAAAAATCCAAAGTCATCATTGTCATTTATATTTATTAGAAATTTTGGGTGTTTGGACAAATCTGCTCTGTGTAATTTTGCATCAACAAAATTTTCGCCTCTGGAATCTCTAATTTTTTGTCAATTGCATGTTCTATTGTAAGGTGTCACACAAGTTATAGTTTACTCAAATAACAGGATTTGAACAGCAAAGAATGAAAGAGAGGTTAAACTGAAAGGAGATTAGGCTTCTTACAATATTCTGGCTCTGTATTGGTCATTGGATAGAAAAGATGGTTATGGTTAATAAGAAGGATGTATTTATGCCTTAGTATCAGTTTCCAAACAAACATAATTTTATGTTGTGGATTTGGGTTTGGATATCAATTCTTTCTTATTGGGATATATAAGTAATTCAACTGAACAAGCCTCAATCTCATAAAAATTGGGTTTGCCTACGTGGATTCACCATTTCTATTGTTTAGGGCTTTGGAAAAATCGGTAGTTTTATCATTCAGAACCAGACAATAGATATTGCATGAGGCTGCAAATAATCTATTGGAGAGACTATTATTCTGTTTTTTTACATAAATAAATTCTTTTCTTTCCCGTCAACCTTTTTTTCCCTTCTATTTGACCATTATTCTTTATTTCTGCTTATCTATATTACTTCTGTTTGGTGATATGCAAAAAATGATACATTGCAGTTGATCTTTTAAAGCTGAACTCGATGTATTATTTTCTTGCTTCATTGTTAATTCTATTGACAAAACGAATAGAGATTGCAAATTCAGAACTTGTGATTTCGCCTTCTTATTTCAGGATTCAGATGCTTCAATCCGCAAAAGGGCCCTTGAACTTGTTTACCTTCTGGTGAATGAGACCAATGTAAAGGCTTTAACAAAAGAGCTAATTGATTATCTGGAAGTAAGTGATCAAGAATTTAAAGGGGATCTTACTGCCAAAATTTGCTCCATTGTTGAAAAGTAAGTTGTGCAATTCTTGAACTAAGATATCCACTTGTTTACCCTGATTGGTGGATATATGAGATTGTTTTTTTCTTGCATGTGCTTGTTATTTTGACAAACGCAACTACTAGTTCTACTTTTTCTTGCTGGAAAAAAAAGGTGAAATGATACTAACCTGTATTTGGACTTGCATTGAATCAATAATGCTTCTAGGATTTAGCTTCTAGAGATAGCAAGTGACCTGAAACAATGCTTCCAAGAAATTATTTTCTGCTATTTGAACATATATGTCTTGGTTACTTTGGGTGCATTTGAGAAGCAAAATATATTTTTTTGAAAGGACTAAATGGGGGTGTCTCCAATCTATGTTAAAAAGAAGAAGAAAGAAGCTCAATATAAACTAATGAATCATGAAAAAAATCTACACTATATAATATCATCCCCTTAAATCAGCATCTTTCCTCCTGGAATTTGTGCCTCATATCGGGCTGCATCCCTGGTGTGCTCAAACTGGAATTGTGATATCTGAATGTTTTTATTTATACAGTAATGTATTCATTTTGGCTTTTCTGAAATTGTCCCACAGACAAATTTCTTGATGTTTCACTTCCAACATGCCATGCTGCACGGGTTTTGTTTCCCCCTCCCCTTCAAATGCAGGAATCTTGAGTTACGCACTTAAGTTTAGTAGTATGGATTGGGGGTTCTTAAATCACTATTATTTAGAACTACCTTTCTGCTATGTTTAATCAATTTGCTTTTGCTTTTTTATGCTTTAGGTTCTCCCCTGAGAAAATTTGGTACATTGATCAGATGCTCAAGGTTCTTACTGAGGTAAAAATGTCAGTGTGATGTCTGCCATGCAGTTTTGGCTGTTTGTTTGAACCTTGTTTGAGACATTTCATTACTTGATCATCATCATGGCTTGAAGATGCTTTCTGTCATCGCCATGTGGACCGGCTAGATGAATATTTTCTATGAAAAGCACATGTGATCTCAGCTTAAGCCACATCTTTTTCCCCACCCACCACCCATGTTCTTGTCTTTTAACCATCCTTGTGAGACATTTTCAGCTGGCATGATAGTTTCACCTTGCTTCTTCATTGTGCTAGTATCATAGTACATTGTGCCGTTTATGCCGTTGCCTCTTCATGTGCATGATAGTCTCTGTTCGGGATATTGGGACAATCTTGTTACTGTTATTGTGTCATTTATGATCAGGGGATTATCATCCCTCATACTTGACCACTCCCTTTGGTTGATTTGTTTTGTTGAATTCAATGTTGAGCTTCCTTCAGCCATGCGTTATGCAGCATGTTGTTTACCAGTAGATCTAGATAATTAAAGCCTGCAAAATGAAGATGTTTTGGTCAATGGAAGCATATGGAATTGTTTTTCATTTATTTAATTTTTTCTTAAAACAAAAACAGGTGAAAGATGAGACCTGGAAGAATAACTTGAGTATATCAAAAGATCATTCAAAGTGCATGAATCTTTTAATTCTCAATTTGGGCTTTCTGGTCTTGATTAATGATTTATTTTACATATCAATATTCTGATCTTAATATTGTGCTTTGCAGGCTGGAAACTTTGTAAAAGATGAAGTATGGCATTCCCTTATAGTTGTGATAAGCAATGCTTCTGACCTTCATGGATATACAGTCAGGGCATTATACAAAGCTTTCCAAACATCAGCTGAACAGGTATTCGAAGTTTCTTTTCATAAAAGTGAATGTTTTATTTGGCAGTCTATGAGCTTCAGCATTTAATTCTGCATGTCAGACCTATCCCAAAAAGGAGATATCATTTGTATCCATTTTGAATTTTTTCTCCATCAGGAAAGCCTTGTTCGTGTGGCAGTTTGGTGCATTGGAGAATATGGTGACATGTTGATAAAAAATGTCGGCATGCTGGCCATAGAGGATCCCATAACCGTAAGTATATTGTTACATACTCTGCTGCACTTGCTTTTGCCATCTTCATTCTGCTGCCTCTGAATTCGATGGTAGTGTTATTACCTAATTAGAACTCTTGGTAACTGTAATAGGGGGCTTCTCAAAAAATACTCCCTCTATACCATAATGTTTGTCTACTACTCGAAACAAGAAAAAATTAGATTTATTTTTTAAATTTGTTTTTTATAACCAATTATAGAAAATGAAAAAAAATCTACAAGTAGAATATGATTTTTTTTTATCCTTTTGGTGATTTAAAAAATAAATTAAAATTTTTTATTGCCTGCATACTGGACTAATATTATAGGATGGAGGAGTACAAATGAAATCAAATCCTGGACTTTCTTTGCTCTGTGTGTTGGGATGTCCACGTGACTTGGAAGATAAAAATATGGGATGCTGATAAAGCAAACTTCTATGGCTTTGCCACAGTGGAACTGTTCAAGATCTTCTACTTATTGAGTCCTTTTTGTATGATGTACAATTTCTGGTGGAAAGTAATACAAATATGCTGCTATTATCCTAAAGTGTTGGCAAAATCTGTTTTGGTGGCTAGAAGCAGTCACGTTAGAATTGTCTTTTTCTCCTCTCCTTTCCCTTACAATTAGGGAATACATAAGTTCCATGTTGGGATATAAAAAATGAATTAGCTCTTGTTAATATCAATTTCTTATGCGAACAAGAATATTTCTTAACTTTATCCAACCCAACTAATTTGTTGAAGTAAATTGATCCAGTTCCTCCAATATCTGATGTTTGATAACAAAAGTTGAATGGTTGGACTTATTAGTTTGCCAATGGGATTTCCTCTCTGCCTTGCTTGTAAAAAGGATGATGAGATCAGGTTGGAAGTTTGATCCAGCAGAGGTGGCGAATGACAGGAAGCAAGATTAACAATCATTTATGTGCGCACACACGAACACTAAAAATGTGTTGTTTTTGGATAGAGTTAGTATTGTTGATTGTCTCTTTCCCTATCTCATTTAATGGCCTGCTAAGTTTAATTTCTTTCGAGCAGGTTACAGAGTCTGACATTGTGGATGTTGTCGAGATTGCTATAAAGCGTCATGCCTCAGACCTCACTACTAAAGCAATGGCTTTGATTGCTCTCTTAAAGCTTTCTTCCCGTTTTCCATCTTGTTCTGCGTATGTATTTTCTCAGTTTTTATTTTAATGTTGCACCTTCCATTCCTTGCAATTTTATTAGGCTTATGTCTTTCCTTCTAAGCTTTGCATTTTTTTAAGCTGCATAAAAAGAATGATATCCCGGCTGTATGTTTTTGAGTCTTATTGTTGCCAGTCTTTCTTTCTATATAAACAATTCGGCATTTCTTTTTTATTTCTTCTTACAACATGAAATGTAATTATTATTTTGAGTAATATTTATGGCAAGATCTGGGATCTAATTGTATAGAATTGTTCTTTGAATCATTTCTAGGAGGATCAAGGATGTAATTGTTCAACATAAAGGCAGCCTTGTGCTTGAATTGCAGCAAAGATCCCTTGAATTTAATTCCATCATTGAGAAGCATCAGAATATAAGGTATGCGGTTAACTTTTCTATTATTTTTCCTTGTTAACCTCGTAAAGTTTCCCATATCTGCTGCAAAATTTCATTGATTAGGAAACTCACATATGAGTTTGTGCAGACCTGCTCTGGTTGAAAGGATGCCAATTTTGGATGAGGCTACTTTCAGTTCAAGGAGGGCTGGTTCTTTGCCGGCAGCTGTTTCAACTTCTGGTGGGGCTTCCCTTAATCTTCCAAATGGAGTTGCCAAGCCCTCCGCAGCTCCTCTTGTAGATTTACTTGATCTTTCAGATGATCTTCCAGCAGCACCCAGCACTTCTGGTGGCGATTTTCTTCAGGATCTTCTAGGTGTTGATTTGACACCAGCTCCAACACAGTCAGGTCAGTGTCTAAGCTGTGACATAACTTGATTATGCACATCTTTGAAACAGTAGGTTTAATTTATAAGAACCTGCAATATCTCTTCTTAGATATCATCCTCATAAGCTGAAATACCTGATTGCATTATCAATGCTGATACTCTTTGGCCATCATTTTGTTGGAGTTTGGGACCTTCTCTGATAGCCTTTGCAGACATTAGCTACAAGTTACTTGGGTTCCTGTTGGCTGAATCTATGCTGTCTTGAAACTTTGATAATTGAGCAAGCATCTCCTACTTTTATACTGTAAAATCTTGTGGGGATGCTAACATATTAGTAGCATGTTGGTGTGGAGCTTGGCATATAACCATTTAGGCCTTAACAGTTTTATGGGAATGGACTAAAGTTTCACAGGCAGTTTCCTTGTGAATGTTGTTTAGAATCTATGGCCACTTAAATCTCTTCAAATGTTTCTGAAATGTGACAGTATTAAAGAAAAACTTGATGGTGCAAGGCTTCAATCCTGTCAATTTGCGTTGTCATCTTGTTACTCTTTAAAAAAAAAAAAAAAAGGAATAAAAAAAATTCAAGATTCTTTATCATGCGCCTTAAATTTTATGGTTGGACCAGTGCTTGTTTGAACATTGCTTTGTTGAGTGACAAACTTACTTGAAGTTAAACTGTTTCAGTGTTCTGCTACTGATTGAGCATTTTGTTTGCTGTCAATCACTTGTTTAGCATTAACTATGATTTCCATTTGCACCACTTAGGCGCAGACCAGGTTCAAAAGGCTGGAACAGATGTTCTACTGGATCTTTTGTCAATTGGAGCACCTCCTGTACAAAGCAGCTCATCTACTACTCACATTTTATCACCCACTCAGAATGATAAATCACCAATAGCCACATTAGATGCTCTCTCATCACCGTCTTCTCTTTCTGCACAAGCAACAACTTCTGCTAGTGCTGCACCAATGATGGATTTCCTGGATGGGTTTGGTCCCAGCCCATCAAAGCCTGGTAAAGTTGTCCACCTTGAATTCCTGTTTTGCTGGATGGTTGCTGTCCCAATTGTTGATTGCTTTTTGTTCTATGAACAGAGGATAATGGTTCAGTTTATCCGCCATTGGTTGCATTTGAGAGCAGCTCCTTGAGAATAACATTCAACTTCTCAAAGCAACCGGGAAATCTGCAAACAACCATAGTCCAGGCGACTTTCACAAACTTGACACCTAATGTGTTTACAGATTTTATATTTCAAGCGGCAGTTCCAAAGGTAAATTCAGATGTAGTTCAGTAAGCATTATTCTTTTTTTCCATATCATGCTTTTGTAATAATATCTTTTTTTTGGCCTGATAAATGTCTTTTGCTTTTGTTGTCCATTTACAGTTTCTTCAACTGCACTTAGACCCAGCTAGCAGCAATATTCTACCTGCAAGTGGTAATGGATCCATCATGCAAAATTTGAGGGTTACTAATAGCCAACATGGGAAGGTATATCTCTTACATATTCGTCTAAAATTGCATGCACTTCTTTCTGGATTTCATGGCATCATATGAGTAAGTTATAGTATTACTATGTATGATTCTCTCACTCTCCTTTCATCCGAGTGTCCTGTTTGCCTTTACCCTCTTTTCGAGGAAACTCGATAATTTCTCTGTCATCTCACATATTTGGACTTCTTACAAACTGACCCCTTATTATCTTAGTCAGTAGTTATTTTTTAAATTTAGTGTTTGATGAGTGGAATAAGAAATAAAACAATTAATTCTTGACTGATGTATTTCAGGATAAACTAAAATAGAAATGTGGTCGCTTTCAATTTCTGATAGATAGCAAGAAATTTGATTTTTATGTACTGCAGAAACTTTACTTCCAGCAATGTGGTAAATTATATGAAGTCTGGGTTAGTTGTTTATTGAGTATTCTCCTAAAAACAAACTAAAGTCTGGGTTAGTTTTTTAGTGAGTATTCTCTTAAAAACAAACTAGCTCTTCCCAGCTCACCTAGATACAGTTTTAAATAACGGTCGCAGTTACAATAACGGTTGAGGATTGTGATAACGGATGCAGAATTTAACCGGTTGCGGCCATTGTTGTTGTGAATCATTTAGCAAATGTAATAAATTTTCATAATATATGTCTATTTTATAATTTTAGTAAATAAACCTAATAATAGCATTTTTTTTTAGTTATATATACACACCATTATAATTCAATAATAATTGCATTGTCGAAAATTATATTTTAACTTGACCTAATTTTTAAATTATTAGTCAAAAATTGTTTTAATAAAATTATACTTTAGTTATTGGTTGTTAGATTGGAGGAAAATCGACTTATAATATTATTTTTTTGCAATTAAAAAATTAATAAAAACATTATTAAATTTTTTAAATTATACGAAGTTAAAAAAAGGTAAAAAATATAATTCTAAAACTAAACCCAATTATTACTTAAAAATGTACGTTGTTTTTTTAATATGGATCCAGATATCCAATTATATAACATGACCCAAAATATTAGTCTTTTAGGTTTAAAGAAAAGTCTTGTATGTTTTTTCTAAACCTAAAATTCATTTCTGCCCCCTCCCTCCCTCTCATCTTCTTTCCTAAAACCAAATCCTTGCCCTGCCTTTTTTCTCCAAAAACGCCTCTCCCCCTCTCTTTTTTTCCTTAAAAACAAATCCTTGCCCTGGTATCTTCTTTACCAAAAATGCCTCTCTGTCTCTTCTTCTTCCGTAAAAACAAATACTTGCATAGTTGTCTCTCTTTCCCTACAAATGCCTCCCTCTGTCTCTCCTTCTTCCCTAAAAATGATTCTTGTAATTTATTCACTCGAAATTCTGCAAAAATTTTGGACGATGGTAGTGGCAATGGCTGAAACGGCAACGGGGCACCTATAACGCCGAATAACTGTAATGGGGTGCCCTGATTCCGTTATATAACGGCCGTTACACTATATAATGGCTGTTATTTAAAACTATGCACCTAGATTTTTCATACAAGCCATTGTCCAGCCTTAAACAAATGGAAACTGCTTTCATTAAACTAGAAGCTCCTATTGCATGTGATTTTCTGAATGAGGATTCAGTGACCATACTTGAATTTCCCTCAGTCTATCATTTTGAATTGCTGTCAACTTGAGTCACTGAAGTCGCAGGAGAACACCATTTCTGCCCTATATAAACTCCAGTGAAGTGCATTCCTACTGCTGAAATGAAATTATTGGTAAACAAACTATATCTCAACTGAGACATAGCATTTTATGATGGCGACATTTAAGACAAGATTGGAGACCTCTCTCTGTCTTTGGCTTGCTGACTAATATACTTGGTTTTTGTTGTGTATAATGCCGATGCTGGGAACCCTACATCCACCCCTGCTGCCCTCTGCCTTCTGTAGTCTTTTTTTCTTTTTCTCCAACCATGTTCAAGGTTTGGTGATAGGCAATCAAAATGTTCTACTGGTCCCCTGTATTTGTAGCATGGGAATGTCCAACCCAGTAATCATTATTGCGAGCGGGCAGAGCATAATCCTTTATTAGAAGCTTGAGGAAGTGTGATGTGAGAGGAGTTTGCTTAAATAACAAATGATATTTCGGAATTCTGAACAAAAAATTACTTAAGATTATTGGGATTAGGGACAAATGCTGTGTTGGTTCATTTTGTTTGCCTGAATCATATCTCATTTCATTTTATATCTCTATTTCATTTTAATAATATATTCTTAGGCATGGAGGATGTTAGGTCGTTATGAAAATTATGTTGTTTTCAGAAATCCCTCGTGATGCGCACTAGGATATCATACAAGATCAACAACAAAGATACATTGGAGGAAGGACAAATCAACAATTTCCCTCGGGATTTGTGAAATTGGTTGATCCAGAAAAATGCTGATGATGCCCATCTACAGGCACTTATTTTTTGTCCACTGAGAAGCTCCATCTCACCGTTTTTAGTGATAGTTAAATCTTTTCTTTTCATTCGTCGATTTGGATGAAATATGGCTTATAGCTGTTGGTATGAGATTTTGCTGAGTTTGAAATATGTCCACCGTCTCATATGATTTTCTATGTTTTAGGTGATTTGTGTACATTATACAAAATATTTCTTTACGGAATGGTCAGAATTGAATTGAATTTTGTCTTGGAGGCACATAGAGAAGGGAATTTGTGCTACATTGGAGTTTGGAACTTGAGTTGCTTCTGTAATCTAACGTGCTTATTGAGATCATACTTGTCAATTTTAAACTAATACCCTGATGCTACTCACACACACACACACACACACATACACACAAAATGAATGGATCTGTTTGCACTATACATTGGTTATCTACCGACGATGGTCGTAGTTCGTGGTGTTTCTGCTATCTTGTTGCCATTGCAGAAGATAGCCTTGCATAAACCTTTATAAGACCTTTGCGTCTCTCATTTGTTTTCTGGCTTAATGAATCAGGAACCATGAATGTATTTTTTGAATTATGACTTGCCTCATTTGTTCCAAGCTCTGGTAGAGAGGATATCCTTCTCTTTTACTGGGATTACAAAAGCTCTGCAAGTCGTCAAGCTTTTGGCGCCAAAAGGAAAAAGTTGTTCAAGCACCTAATAGAACCCTTTGACTAGGCTAGACTTTGATAAGCTGAAGTAGAAAATGTATATTAAAAAAGAACAAAAAAACATCTGAAATAGTATGAAATTAATGATTTTTCAGCTCAAATGTACTTCTTAAAAATACATACATTGCATTATCAAGCACACATTTAATTTGCTTAATTGCAAGCGACTCATGTGAAATTACCATCCCAATTGATTATTACAAAAAAATGTTTAATATGCTCCTTTTTTAATATTTATTTTAATAAACTGAAGGCAAGCTCATACCTCTGATAAACTCAAAGAAAGGTCAAGAATGTTTGTTATTTCACTTACAAATTTGGACGTTTGAAAAAAAATTAATTTCAATTAACACGAAAAAGTTGATTCAAAATATATTTTAATCTAAAAAAAAAGAACAATAATTATTTGTATATCTGAGAGACATGATTTTATCGACAACATAACCAAAAAGAACAAGCCGCAAACTTTGGTGCTAATTGCTTTGCTCAATGTCTCCATCTTTTGACGGGCAAATCTTATGATTAAAATATGGGCATAGATCCATAAATGGACAACTGTATTTGGATATGCATGATACATAAATAGAGACAAGGAAACTTCAAAGTAGCTTCCTCCTCTCCTGATGATTCTGATTCTGCTTCGTATTTTATGATTATTAATTAACTTATTTTTGCCTGGCTAATTTTGAATTCAGGAAACTATGTTTGATTTACTAATTATTGACAGTATATGTTAATATAATATAGTGTTGATGCACGAAAAGAAAAAAATTAAAATAATTGTGAATCATAGGATTCTAATCAGAATGCGAATCTTTTTTTTTCTTTTTTAATGATGGCCTAAATGTATAATCTTTTATCCTCTGAAATATTTCAATATCAAAAACTCATATTAATTTCTAATTATTTTATCGATTGTATAAAATAAAAATAACTACTCAAATTAGTTTTTAAAATATACAAAAATTTAAACTCGAAATCATTTATTTAAATAATTATAATTTTTTTACTGTAGGATTTAATACATTGAATCTCACTCATCTGATGACTTACGTATATTTTTTAATGTTTTATTTTTTGAAAAAGGTTTTTTTTTTTTTTTTCTTCCCAACGGCGCAGGTACCAGAGTGGCAAAACAAATTCTGTAAAAAATCAAGACAATTTACATGAACCAAATGTAAAGGTGGACGGCAGAGATGCAAAGCATCAAAAAGAAGCGGACCCCACACAAACCGAATCTGCTTTTAATCCCTCCCTCTCTCTTTCTCTCTCTCTCTCTCTCTGAAAACGAAGACCAAACGTAACAAGAGCGTCTCTCTCTTTCTTGCACTCTGACGCAACTCTTTGTTTTCGTCTCTTTTCGTTCCACTCACAAGATCATACACCCAAGAGTCCAAGATCAAGACAGAGAAGAGAAGGGAATCAAAATGCCAGGAGATAGAAACATTGGTGTGGCTATGGACTTCTCGCCTAGCAGCAAGAACGCTCTCAACTGGGCCATTGATAACTTGGTTGATAATGGTGACACTCTTTACCTCATCAACATCAATCCAAACTCTCTTGATGAATCTCGTAACAAACTTTGGGCGAAGTCTGGTTCTCGTAAGTAATTAATTAATCAGTCAATACCTCTGCTTCACCTTCTTCTTTTTCTTCTTTTTCCTTTTTATTTATGATCTGATCTGTTTTATGATTTCTTGATTAATCAGCTCTTATTCCCCTGGCTGAGTTTAGAGAGCCTGAGATTTTGAAAAAGTATGGCGTCCCAGTTGACGTTCAAGTTCTTGATGCGCTTGACACCATCTCACGACAGAAAGAGGTATTACCGAGCTAGCTAGCTAGCTAGTACATTTTCTTTTACAGATTGATCTGCAAGTTTAATGGGGCAGTAAAATTTGATGTTTTTGAATTGTTAAATAGGTGAAAGTTGTTTCAAAACTGTACTGGGGTGGAGATGCCAGAGAGAAGCTCCTTGATGCAGTCGAAGATCTGAAACTGGACTCTTTGGTCATGGGAAGCAGGGGACTTGGCACTGTCCAAAGGTATGAATAATAATTAATTTTTATAAAAGAAAAAAAAAAAGATGCGTTGATTTTGCCAAAAAATAATGTATTATGTATGTGGTGGGTGTCCTGAAAACAGGATACTTTTGGGGAGTGTGAGCACTTATGTGATGACCCATGCTCCATGCCCTGTCACAATCGTCAAGGACAAGCAGTGAAGAAATGATGGAGTTGGCCTTTTACAATTTTACATGGGGAGTGGTCCAGTTTTATTTATCATGCTTTGTTTTTGTTCTTTAATCCACCTTTTACTCTTTGGTTTATTATTATTAATGATTATGGATGTGCCTATGAAAAGTAAAGTAATGTACTACTACTACTACTACTTGGTATGTTAACTCTAGTCCCAAATGAATAAATTAAACATTTTGATTTGATCTTGAATAATTTTGATACTGTGAACTTTTTTTTTTTTTCCCTTTCCTAAATGTCTGCCTTCATTTTTTATTCTAAGTTATCGAACACTAAATGGCACCCAAAAATATCTATGAAATGGATCAACTTCTTGTTTGCATTTACATTTTGATATATGTAAATATAGAATCAAGCTGAATTTATTAATTGTAATATAGAATTAGAATTCCATTAAGATATTGTATGAAAATATGATTTCTTTAGTTCTTTTTTTAGCTGTTAGTTGAAGGATTTTTTATTGGCTGAGTTTGAAGAGTTTTTTTTTTTTTTTAGGTCTATCTTAACTCTAGTTTTCAAATGACTCTATTTTTCAAGTCAGTTGAAAAATAATTTTACACTTTTTAATTTCGAATTAGATTTTTCTCAATTATTTTTTATTTGAAATTGATTTTTTTTTAACTTTTAATTTCAGTTTCATTTTTTTTCAATTATTTTTTATTTAAAATTGGCTTGTTCTGCTAGATTGTGAAATTTTTAATTTTGTCAACAGATAAAAATATATTAAAATTTATGGATGTTTTATTTTTTTCCCTGTAAACTTATTTTTTATTAAATGTTTTTTAATTGTTTGCTTTTGTTCTTTCTTTCTAAATTTATTTTCTTTCTAAATTGTTTGCTTTAACATTTAAGAAGGAAGAAACATATTTTCGTTCGAAAAATCTATAAATATTTTCGGTAGAAAAGGAAAGAGGAGTGAAAGATACAGAGAACCCAAACGGATCATGAAAGGATTCGAAGGACAATGTCTATTATTGGCCATCAAATTACAGGTTATTTATTTTGCTGCGAAGCCCTAGAACTTCCTCAAACCTATGGGAAACAGAAGCAACATCACAGTACGCAGAACAACATGACAATATTACACAGAAGAAGAAAACAAACCCAACATTTGACAGCCATATTCATGCATAACATTGCCCCATGCCAGAGCGATCAATTCTAGTACTTCCAAGTGGAAGCCATGAAACGGGGCTGCAGAAAAGCTATCAGTTTATCCCTGGGAGGAAGGTTTTCTTTGATGACCTTGCAGTTCACATACTCATCAATCCACTTGCACAGAACAGGAAAGCTCTCTTTGTTCACCAACTCCACCCCAGCAGCTTCTTGAGCGGCTCCCAACCAGAAACCTATGAAGTTGGCGACAATGTCTACTAGTCCAATTTTATCTCCTCCAAAGAACTTCTTGTCTTTGAGCTCATTTTCTAGCACTTTCAGGTTCTGGATTGCTTCTTCTATGGCCTTCTCGCGTTCGTCCTCTTTCCTGAACATAATTTGCCAAGTTGCAGGCATGCACTAAAAAAAAAGGGAAATTTTAGTAGTTGCTAAATTTTTTATTTTGCGGCTCAACACAAAATAATATACTCGATCTGTGCAAAGAGATCGTATCTTTTAATTTTTTACACAATTTAAAAAAAATATTAATTGTTATGTGTAATTTTTATTTATATTTTAAAAAAAATTCGTTTTTTTGTTAAAATTGGTAGTTATCAAATTCAATCCTGAAAAGCAATAATTTAATGAGAAAATCTATCTAAAATAAAGATGGTAAATCAAAGAAAAAAATGTTAAATTAAGACAGTAAATCAAAGAAAAATTATTAAATTAATTAATGATCAAATTTGAAACAATTATAAAAAAAAATAACATATTGATAATATTTTACTTCTAAAATTTCAGCATACACTAAAGTCAATATAAAATAAATATTTTTCATGTAAATAAAAATCAGTTATTTAAAATTTTTATGTTAAAGGTATTTATATGTATAAAGAATATTATTATTATTATTATTTAGTGAAGAATGTAAAATGAAAGAAAAAAATTAATTTTTTTTCAATTAAGAATATTTTAAAAAATATATATGATTTAAAATTTTGACTATATAAATATTTTAGGATATATATATATATATATATATATATATATATATATATATATATATATATATATATATTAAAAATGAAGAGAACAAATCTCGTCGGGACACAGAATATTGACTGCAAACCATGAAAGACCGCCCCTTTTCCGAGAGATCAAATTTGTAATGTATAGTTCAATTAAATAAAAAAATGAAGAAATGGTCTTACCTTCTCGTCGATGAATTTAGCCCAGAATCGTGCCATGGCTTTGTCATAAGGATGTTCAGGCAAGATGGGGTTGGTTTTCCAAGTTTCATCGATGTACTCAAGAATGACAAGCGACTCAACAATTGCTTTGCCATTGTGGAGGAGCACAGGGACCTTCTTGTGGATGGGGTTGTATTTGAGAAGCAAAGGACTCTTATTAGCTAAATCTTCTTCTATGTATTCATAGTCAATGCCTTTCAATTTAAGAGCCATCTCCACTCTGCGACTAAAGGGACTCCCCCATGCTCCAAGCAGCTTCACTTCAGCCATAGCACAAGCACGACCCTTTCTCTGTGTTTGCTCTGTTTACTATGCAACTTTAATATGTTGCGCTGCTTCTAATTAAGCTCCACGGATGCCGATTTATTGAGTTATCGGGATCGAGATTTACTTCATCAGCAAGGAACTTTTCAAATTTATTATATTTTCACTTTTGACTTATTCATAGTATTTGATAACAATTATAGTAAATGGTAGTGGTTAGATCTTAGTGATGAATGCAATTCATTAGTGCATGCACCGTATCTTAGTTTCCAAATTAAAATATTTAGTCAAATTTTAAAGGATTAATAACCTTAAATGTCACTATAAGGTAGGTCAATTTTTCTACGTTTCTACAAAAATTCCTCCAATTTATTCTTATATTTTAAGTTAGTTTCTAATCTATCATTTTGATTAAATTTCAGATCAATTCATTAGAAATTAATCTTTGTATTAATAGATATAAATCATTTGTATCAAATAATAAATACAATTTTGTCAAATTGCATACTTAATTTCTAATGAATTTACCATCAATTTTAACTAAAAAATAAATTAAAAACCAACTCAAAACATAAGAGCAGATTGAAAATGTATTTTTTAAAAAAAAAACATATTGAAAAATTAATCTATTTTATAAAATCAGATGAGTATTAACTCAATTTTAAAATAATAAAATAATTTAAGAGGAAAATTTCCTCAAACAAAAAGACATCAAACTTATAATTTGATATTTTAAAGGTATCATATATTTCATTAGTTAATAAAAAAATTGATATAAACACTGGAGTGTGAATTTTATAAAAACCGTATACTCCAAAAAAAAAAACAATTAGAGATCTATGTACTCTAATGGAGGTAAAAAATAAGAGCATAAAATTATAATTTAATATTTTACAAATAACAAATACGTCATCACTCAATGAGTGATGAAAAAATTAATGAAAGAATTTGAATGGAAATTTTGAAAAAATCAATGTAATTAAATAAAAAAAATTAAAATTCATATATCCAATTGAAAAAAAATAAAAAATTTTAATTAATATACTTATAGTGCTTTTATCTCATTTATTGACCTAGTTCATGGGGGAGTTTGTAGACTAGTAAGTCTACCTAAACCAACATAAAAGTCTCCTCTTCAGAGCATGCATGCGACACGTTTCCACTGAAGAAGGTAATCTAGCAACCAAATTTCGGTCAAAATCAAATATAGCATGATACTAGAGCCCAGATGGATGACCATTAGATGTAAGATGGACAGAGCTTCAATTAGATATTTCAGCAAACAGATGTGAATTCTATCTACTCGCCACTAAGGAGGGGACATCAGGGACAGATGTTACTTACAAAAATTATTTGGTACACTTAATAAAGGTAGATAAAAAGGTTGTTTAACTTCAAAAAGTGTTTCGTCGTCCCTCTTTGATCAAAAGCCTGGCTGCCCACCACAGCAGCAGAGCACCAACTCTGCAATAAACATGGAAGCAAACAAGCTCAGAAAACTGCAATATATTTTTCTCCAATTGATAGATCAGAAAATGATCTAAAAATTTGTACCTAAGAGAGAAAACATGCATAAAATAAATAAATAAATAAATTTACATATTATGGACGTATTGTAACCACATGCAGGACAGCAATTAACGGCATCCATTGTTTGCAAAAAAAAAAAAAAAAAAAATAAAATGAAGATAAAATATAATAGCTATGCTGATTGGATTTTTGATACGCTATAAAGTAATTGTAGCATGCAAAGAAGTGCTGTTACATTTACATTTTGATATCACTAAAGGCAAAATATCTTTCTACGATAGTATCCCCACACAGGGCCATCAAAAGTAATTAATAACCATGTAGAAATAAGCTAATTCAAGTCCCCAAGTCTTGAAAATGGGAGAGACTATCTTAGTTACTAGGGGATTCTGACGGATAAAAATAGGGGATTGACAATCCAGCTTATCATCACACATGATGGATGAAAAATTTACCTCTGAATAGCAACAAACCTATATACACTTGCAAATATCACCCCCTTGAGGTTTCTGGTGTAAGAAGTCCCATTTGTTCAGCAAGATGATTCATATGTTGAATATTGTCCCATCCATCGTCCTGCCATGATTGCAGATCATGCTCCTTGCTCATGCTGCTTTCTGGAGAGCTTGAATTAATTTCATCTTCTGTCTCCCCATTAATCGGGCTTGCTGTAAGAAACTGTTCCCAGAACACATCATTAATGCCAGGAAGCTTAGGGTTGGGAGAGAAAGCTTCAGTTTCTACAGCCACTGGCGCATCCAACACAGATGACATTGCATCAATAAACTCTGTATTATCATTCTCAGGCCCTGCAATATTCATATTAGGAACTCCGGCAGAGCCTCCAGGCACAATTCCTGGCATTGCAGTGAAGTTGGGCAGGATGGTATTTTGCCCAGAATTATGCATGCCTATCTCAGTAAAATCTGCTTTAATATGGTCGGTTGCCACAGAAGCACGAGGTTGGACCTCAGAAATGGCAGTAGTTGGATGACTGGCTGGGAACCCAGTCTCAATAGGCAAATATGATGGCCCAGAAGTTGGTGGAACCTCTGAAAGCATCACTCCGGACATCCGAGTTGAAGAGCTCCCACTATCTAATCCATTGGAAGAAGGATGGTTACCAATCAGCAAGGGACCAGAACTGTTCATTGATTGTTCCAGCCTAGGCGATGAGTTCATCTTCAGGATCTGGTGCAGCATTGCTTTTGCTGCTTCATTCATTGAAGAATGGAACTTGATAATCTGCCCATTAGGAGAGTTTTTGCATTGCTCATCGGCCAAATTTTCTTCCTCCTGCCTTGGAAGTCTCCTCTTTTAGAGGCTCCAGCAATGCGTCTGTTGCTTTCATTTTGCTGCTGTACGAGCTGACTTAAGAAGCCTGGACTCTGCATGGCCTTCGCAAGGAATGACATCATTTGTTGCTGTCGCTGCTCCATTCCCTGTACACGTTGCCCCACAGTGAGCAGCTGGTGATCCGTGGCTTGCTGCTGCTGCCTCAGTCTAACCAGTTCCTGCATGAGAACATTTTTGTCCCGTTTAAGTCTTTCAACCTCTTCTTCAAGTCCAAACTTCCCAACCTCAACGCATGAGGCAACCGGAGAGTTCTGGACTTGAGGTGGTTGGTTACCATGAACAGGAACAGTTTTTTTCCTAGATATACTGCGCAGAAGGTGTTTTTGCCCTCTTAAGAACCCCTCATTTGCAAATTCAAACCGATCAGGATCAACCTTCCTGAAACCCTGCTCAATCACGGTAGGAAAGGCAAAACATAAATGATATAACCATATAAACACCATGGTTGATCACCATTATCATGAATATATTGATGCAAGACTGTAGGAGGCCAAAAAGAGCACCACACAAAATCAAGGTCCAAAGTCCAAAAATCCACTAATTTTTATTTTCATTTGGATCTCATATAATAATACTAACTTATTGAGTTTAAGCACATGAACAAAAGTCAAAAAACCATCTCAAAAAGTGTAAGAGAAAGGGTAGTTGATGAACGACAATCGGGTAGTTGATGAACGACAATGAATGATGCCCACAGATTCACATCCAGAGAATGCACAGGGGCACTTTCAAAATTTTAAGCAGCCCAACTTTCCAAGTTCATGCAAGTTGGTCTACAAAAGTGCATTCACCTATCGTGATCTTTGTATAATAATCATGAATCTCATGAGGTGTCTAATATCTCATAATGTGTTTCCCCTGAAATTTGACCAAAGACAAACTGGCAACATGAATTTGTACTTTGCCTGATCATCTCCAGGCTTTGTTGACAATGGTATGCTCTCTGACCTTTATTGTCTTCTATGCTAAAATTTACAACACTAGCAATCAGATCTTGTTTTAGTGTGCCACTCATTATCATCATAGGGGATAAAATAGACTCAAGTTCCTAGTATGGAAACAAGGAAACCACATTTTACCTAACATTTTTCAACTGTATTTCAGATATAGAATCCAAATGAAAAATGCATAAGCAAAAAGTGATGCAAAAAAGATCCATTAGAAGATAGCAGCAACTATAAATTGAATGATCTGAACATTCTATCAATTCCTTGGAAAGATGTTAAGATTCAAATATCCAGACTCCAATCACAAAGGCAATCTTGGTTATTCCTCCAATTATTAAAATGAGAGAGTCAGAGACAGAGACAGAAGACAACCATGGCATGCTTACAATTCACCTAATAGTAAAATATCGTTCATTACCACCTAACCAAGTGGATCTATAGTCGCTAGAAAATTGCAAATATCAGGTAATCCACTTTTTTATGCAAAAAACCAAGCAGAATTAATTATACACTTTCCAACCTGATAATATGACGCACAATAAAAATAAATAAATAATTAATTAATTAAAATCTCGAGCTAAACTTGAATCAAAATTTACAGAATACGCTCCAGTTGAATGAATCCCAATCCATAACAAAAAACTTAAAACAATAATAATGCATACAATAAATTCTAAAACAATAATAATTCAATACTAGGTGATTTCATGGAGAACTTACAAGTCACAATCTGAAGATTAAACTGGTTTAAAATAGGAGTTCTCCCTGGTAACTAACAATACCAACACAATTATCAACAGACCATGTTTTTGCGAAGTAAAACCAGCATTGGTCAAGCACACCCGATCAAGGTGTAAGCTGACCTGCAATTTTCGAGCACATGGGTTAATATACACCATGCTTTATGCGTTTCTTGACAACAGAGAACAAATTGGCAAGCATGCAGTCAATTCTGAGTCATCCAAATCATGGTTGAAATTCAAAACCAAGAGTTCAAAATGCTATAAACAAAAATGTTTTGCACATAAAAAGAGATCACGATGAAGCAACAAAAGATTCTTGTGAGGTCTTCTGGTCAAAACTGGATGATAGCAACAATATATCACAGGAACAACAAAAGAAGAAGCCTAGAATCAAGCAGGCTTAGGTAGTTCAAATGGCCCAAGAGTGGATTAGGAACAGGATCATTCATCCTGAATGTTGAATTACCAAAATCTAGCATGAGTTATCCATATATAACTGGGAATGCATGCTAACATGTTGAACAAGCACACTAACCTTCATTTTTCTTTTTTCTGAAAGAAGATTTATTACAAAAAGAGATGGCCAAAGATTTTAAAAAATAAAATAAAAAGACATCCCAGAAGGAAACCCAAAAAAGAAAGTTACTGATAAAATAGCTAGCTCATCCAAAAAATATTTGAACAAACCCACAGCTCACTGAAAAACCAAGCAGAATAATAGGGAAACAACCCACTATACGCTACCACTGAACCAGCAATTCCAGCTGCTCCGAGCAGAGCTGCAAAAATCATTTTGTTTTCCAACTACTATTTCAACTACACACTCACTAATGAAACAGCACTTACATGTCCATATAGAGCTCCATAACATCATTATGGATTTTTTCTAAGTCCAACAAACTCACTTCCATATTTGAATATATCCAAACTAATCTTCCTCAATAAGTCCCACAAACTCATATCTTTGATTTGAAGTCCAACAAACTCTGCACACACATTTGTGCAGACACAGAAACAGAATGCACTTGGCACTTGTTTAATTCTCTGAAATCAATACCAAATGCTTACACATTTACTGAACTTAAAAGATACAGCTAGAGCTTTCCTTGAAACTCCATAAAAGCCATTAGACTCCATCAAGAATTCAAATAACTAGTTCTCATTTCAGATCACCTTTGAGAAACACAAATCTCGTCATAACTGATTTTACACTCCCTAACCACTTTCAACAGCAACTCCGGAGCTGATTTCTAGCAAATCTTGAGTAATATCACAACTTATAGTTCCAAGAGAAGAATTGAAATCAACAAAATAGGCCGATAAATAATCACTATCTCTGAATAGGATTAATAAGGTTTTATTGAGAAACACAAGCAAGCCATAATAATTTTTCTACGGAAAGATTCAGGGCATGCACCTAACCGCGAAAACAGAGAATCATTACTCAATTGACCAAAAATAAAAATCAAGCAAAGTTCCTCAAAAAAGTTAGCAATTACAACAACAAGAAAACAATTGATTTGCTTCATCCAGATAGCATATTCCAGTGAGGAATTCCACAGAAGAAATCCACTGACTCTAATAAAATGAAAAAAAAAATTAACTTAACAAGCTTTCTGAAGCAGAGAATATCTGGATGGGCAGCAGATAAGCTAAATTTAACCTTATTTAAAAACCATTCATCGAACTTATTAACATAAAAAAACAACTTAAGGTATTTGCCCTAACGTCCGATTATAATTCAAATCCATGGACAATCGAGAAATTGAACCCTAGATCCATATCTAAATACAAAAATCATCCTAATAATCCAAATGAATGGAATTAATTGCAATATAAATAATAAAAACATACATAAGTATTCAATTGCCTGACAAAGCTGGAGAAGTTGCCGTGCTTGAAATACTTAGGCAAAAGATCTCTCTGAAATTCTGGCACATTCCACACCACAAAACTGTTATCGCTGCTACTCCACGACACCACTGAATCCGTCGACGAATCGTCTACCATGTCGTAGGTTTTGCTTAGAAATGGAGGCACTGTGTTCGTGTTATTATTCCCACTATCCATTCTAATCTGTTTATTATTACTAGTACTATTTTCTTTTTCTTTTTTTTTCTTTTTTCTTTTTTTAGAAGGAGTACTGCTACTAGGGAGAGGGAGAGAAAGAGGGAAGGGGCTTAGATTTTAGAATCAGAGGATATTTATTTATATTTCAGTGATAGGGAAAGAGAGACAGACAAACGGGAGAGAGTGATGAAAAAAGAAGACGGGACTTAAAAATGAAGAAACAAAGACAGACAGAGAAAGTAGGGAGACAGAGAGTTGCAAATCTATTTTTAAAAGAATTAATAAGTCGTAATCGTTTTAAAAATTAGCCATCTAATTTTTTAAAATTTTTTTTATAAACATGCTCGTAGATATTTAATGTCTAAATATAAAAAAAGAGAGTAAAAATTAATAAAATAAAAAATAGAAATTTAAGAAAAAAATTGAAAAATAAAATAAAAATTAGTTATAACACTTGAGGAGGGAGATAAAAAAAATATGTATGAAAAAAATAAATAATACATTAAAAAATAGCAATTTGAAAACATAAAATACTACGAGTAACCGTGAGAAATTTTATAATACACAAGGAGTAACTAGTGACATGTATGAGTAGTTACTCCTCGAATCCACTTTAAGGAGAGAGATAGACATACAAAAAGAAAAAAAAATAGGAGAGAGAAAATAAAAAAATTTGAGTAAACGTGGAAATCTTCTTATCACTTTTGATGGGTATGAATGTAATTTTTCTCTTTTTTATGTGTCTATCTATGTCCTCAAAGTGGACCGAAGGAGTAACTATTGTACATGTCACTAATTACTCTTTATGTATTATAAAATTTTCCACGGCACTCTATCCATGCTTTAAAAAAATAAAAATAAATTTTTGATGAAATTAACACGTGGAATATTAAATAATTAGTCTTTAAAAATAAAAAAATAATTTATTATTATTTTTTTATAATGAATTACTAATTTATAATTTACTCTTTAAACTTTAGATTTTCGGTTACGAGGAAGAGGTGGGGGCCTTACTGGAAACACGTAGCAGCTTTTCACCAATTTATTTAGCATGTAAGAGTTATATTGATTTCTTTTCAAAAATTTATTTTCTATTAAGTATGCTCTCAAAGTGGTTACTTTCGTTTTACATTATTTGAAAGATATTATTGATATATGGATGAAATATTTGGAGGATAATTGATTAAAAAAACAAATTTTCATATAAAAATTAATAGAAATCATATATTTCAGTATGGTAAAATAAAATTAATACATTTATTTATTCCCACCGCTTCAAAAGTATATAATATATTTGACGTCTATAAGAGTTAAGTCAATTGTTACAGAATAAAAAATTACTACCAAACCTTTGATCAATGATTTCTGATTGTAATTGGAGATCGGTGTTCTGCTTGCAATAAGAGATTACCTTTTCACTTTCCTTAACTTCAACATCTCCTCAAGTTGGCACCTGTATGTTATGAATGCCCAACTTGCGAAGGAGAAAATGAAACTATTGATACTCAAAATAAATATTTTCCAATTAATCATTAGTAATTGAGTTAAAGTATCAAGACATTTATTGTTTAGGGACTAAAACCGAATATTCAAAAAATAAAGATGACCAAATAAGGATAAAAACAAGACAAATTCTATTACGATTGTTAATCAAGCGGCGACATCAGTGATGCTACTTCGAATTCGTGCTGCTCGGTTTACTTTGTTTTTTCTTTATTGTCTTTTACCATTTAGGAAAAATTATTTTAGTCAAATTCATATTCCTAATTAGTCTAACTTTTTCTCCAAGGTTATTAAGTTTAATATTTTTTTTACAAATAAAAAACCATTTTCAATGTAATTTTTTCACCAAGCCCAGTATGCATAAGTTCCTGCAAATTTATTCTTTCAAACTCTATTCTATTCAAATATGTTTTCCTTTAGCTTTAAACTCTACCTTTGTTTCTTTTACGAGTTAAAAATCTAGGATATTCTTTTATTATTTTATTTATCTTAAGCGTGTCTTTTTATTAATTTTTTTAATAATCGTGTCCCGCTATTTTTAATTTAAGTCCAAATTTCATCTTTTCAGCTAAATTTTTCTATAAGTTTATCAATTTTTGACAATAAACAATAGAATTCTAACATGTGACATTTTTGTCAAAAATATTCTTAAAAAATTAAAAATTCCCAAAACACCCCTCTTTTTTCTAACTTTATTTATAGAAATAATTAATTAATATCATCCCTCTTTTTTATTTTTTTCTTTCTCTCAAATTCAAACAAAAAAAGAAAATATTTTATATATAGGAAAGAACATAAGCAAATTTTTTTTATTTCAGAAATTTATTGTAAAAAATTATTTCAAATCCAAACCTAAAAAAAAAACTATAAATTTTTTTTTCATAACATAAGAACAAAAGCAAAAAGTAGAAAAAAAAAAAAAGACATTTTGAGATTTTTTAATTTTTTTTACAGAATTTGAGAGAGAGCAAGAAAACAATTGACAAATGAAATTAATTATTTATCTCTATACGCAAAGGTTGAAAAAGAGTTGGGATTTTTTAATTTTTCATCAGAATTTTTTTGAAAAAAATATCACTTGTAAGCATCCTATGTGTTTGTCACAAAAAATTGATGTAGTTATCGAAAAATTTAGTCAAAGTGACGAAATTTAGACACAAATTAAAAGTAAAATGACATAATTATTAAAAATATATAGTAAAAAGACACAATTAAAATAAATAAAACAGTAAAAGGACTTTCTGGACCTTCAACCCTTTCTTTTAATCATGCCTTTTTTATTGCATTGTTTGCAACTTTCTTCATAACTTTCTTTATCCTTTTTTTAAGTGCAATTCTTAAATTTTTTATGTGTATATATATATATATATATATACCTCATAATCTATTTAGCTTTTCTATCTTAGGACCTTAATCAACTCTTTCTACTCGAATTACACAGCTTAATTTATTTGGGTTTTGTTAGAATCCTGATCACTTATTTGATCTCTTTTGACCCACCTTACATTGACTATTTATGTGTGTGTGTGTGGAATCTTCATGCAATTTTAATACGAGGTAATTATTGCTTCTGCACAAGGTCTGTCTTACAAAAAAATAGTTAATCGGTAACAATTAAATGGTGCTAGAAGGAAGGCACAATGATGTCAAAGTGTATTTGATCTCATTTGTGAATTTCTACTCAACTAAATCAACTGTGGTAGCAATTTCGTTCTCGTCAAACCATTGAGGGCACATTAACAATTCTAACCAAGATTATTAACCAATAAAATGACCAAATAATCAGCTTTATAGGCCAATTTTATGATCTAATAATTAATTTTTATGACCACAACAATATTGTTTAGGAGAAGATTTTGTTACTCTACTTATCAATCAACCATCGCTTAACAATTTTCATCTTCGAACATCAATTTTTTCAATATAAAACAATTTTGTTAGATTCAAATTTATCAATATCTAAATTGGCAAGGGAAGACAAAATGAACATGACTTCTCCATTTATTACATTTAGCGTCAATCGAAACATTCATTTATTATAATAAAAAACTGTTTATTTTTAGTATTTAAGTAGAAAGGACATCGCCTATAGCTATATCCAGTTCAAATGTGAACAAATAGTTCAATTCTTTGATTCAAACTGTAGATCCTAGGGCGATAAGCTGTAGCTGTGTTCACATCTTTTTCTTCTTTGATTCAAACTCATCGATCTTGGTTTGATTTCAATCAATTCCATTTTTTCATCAATTCTTGGTAATACTTCTTGTTTTTGCCTCATTTTTCAAGTCTTCATAGATTTTATTAATGAATCAGTTATAGTTTCTCCTGAGCTCACATCTAGCAATTATGCTACTTAGAGTAGGTGACTCTTACTAACTCTTTTAATTAGGAATAAGATTGGTTTTGTGGATGGTTCAATTAAACCACCTGCAACTAATGATCTTTTGTATAATGCATGAATAAAATATAACAATCTAATTGTTGTTTGGTTATTGAGGTCAATTTCACCAGCAATAGCATCTATTATGTTTTCTATTGATTCTACCTCCAAGATTTAGAAAACTTTGAAAAAGAGAATCTCACGGCCAGATGATGCAAGAATTTGTAAATTGTAACTGTCATTATGCACAATCTCATAAGGAAATAAGTCAATGAATGAATACTTCACAGAATTAAATGGAATTTGGAAAGAATTAAGGAACTATAGACCTTTATCTCATTGTTCAGGTGAAAAAAAAGTAACGAAGATTGTTTTCAAAAGTTTATTAATATGCAATAAAATGATCTTGTGTTTAGGTTTATCAACGGTCTTAGAGACCTATTCTAATCTTAGGTCTCATATTTTGGTTATGAACTTTTTTCCTGCTTTAAACAAGGTTTACAAGCTTGCATTAAGAGAGAAGAATATCTTCAATATTCATTTTTAACACAGCATCTAATAGAAAGCACATTACTTATAGCTATATTCGGTTCATACACGAACAGATAGTCCAATTTTAAGACAAGGTCAATTGGACATATTAATCTGCGCTTGTACTTGTGCAGAGAAAATTTCACAAGGAGACGTAATTTCATTTATTTGGGCAATTATTTGGGCCTGCCCCATCATTAACAGCCCATTTTTTATCCAAGTCTAACCATAGTTCCTTTTTTTTTTTTTTTCGCCTTTAAAAGGCATAGTCGAAATCATATTTTTGTGCCATACTTCACATCTTCACGATGAAATACTTCTTTTTCTCGAAAAGAACAACTTTGTAATTGAATTTGTGCACAGACAAGAAAGACAATAAAAAAATATAGCAAGAGTTTTTCTAACTCATGCCCTTAATTATAAACAAACTTGTTGAAGTGATCCTTCCTGAATTATAAGGTTGTTAAGATTTTTAACTATAAATTTTTAAAGAAAAACCTCAATTTAGTCTAACAGTATTTTATTG